AAATTTTTTAACTCAAAATAGAATATGTAATCTTTTTTAACTCGCACCAATGTCCAAATCGATTAACCAAGCCAAACCGACCCAAACCGATTTTGTTTGGTTTGGTTCGGTTTTAATGATTGAATTGGGTCGGTTTGGGTTGGAATTTATCCAAACCGACCTAGTCAGTTTCGGTTATGGGTGAGACTCAAAATCAAATCAATCGGAACCATGCCCAGACCTAATTGTAAACATGCAAATCATTTACGAATGACTATCCTTTCTTTAAAGCTTTTGATTTAATCCTCTAGAATTCAAATTTAGTAAGTGTACGAGTGTTATAGCAGTAGTTCTTAAAAAAATTGATCAGATGATATATGGTTACACTCAGTGGCGGACGGAGACATTTTGAGTTAGTGGGGCATATCCAAACTTGAACGAGAATACTACCACCATGATCACTAAAACTATGCAGTGAAAGAATAAAAAGCATGTGTGGCTAAGCCTTTAAGCCGATGCTTCTTGACTGATTTAGGTAGTGAGTGAGCCAAAATAAGATAGCAAAAGCCAAAAGGGCTGCTTGAAAGTTTAGCCAAACATGCTCTTATTTCATTGTGGTAGTGTCGTCCCTAAACAAATAAACAAATAAAACGTTGGAAGAAGAGGACACCTCTCTCAGTAAGCTTGTAGGCTGTATTTGAAGCTCTGGCGATAAACACGGTTCCAACGAAGATCTTGAGTGACATCCAGTAAAGGCCGAACCACAGTTCGGCTCCAAACAATCCAATCCATCCGAGTTTTCCAACATCTATAAATCCTGCAATATGAGTTGCTCTGTAAACCCAAATGAAAATGATTCCAAAAAATTTGAGATTGCAAAGAGCTTGTAAACTAAGCTACCTTCTGCTTTCTTGTACCATCATTATTCAGCATTCAAAAACAATCCAAGATTCCTCTTTTTCTCCCCTTTTTACCCACAGTTTGTGGCGGACCAGCAGCAATAGGGGCAATGGGAGTAGTCAGTGGCCGAATCGGAATCGAAATATTAGGAGTAACACCATAATCGGAGCAATTTGCAACACAACAGACTCCAACTAGAGCGGGTTTTGAATTTCCAAGGAAAGGGAACGGAAGGATTTTGATTTTAACGCATTGGTTCTGCCATTATTCAATTACAAAATCAAAATAGTAATGGGTTTCTTGGAAATTACTCTTTGTAGAGCAATCACTCCAGTGATATTTTAATGGGTTCCTCAGAAATAGTAATTACTCAATTTACATGATTTTAATGCAATTGCTCCAGTATCGAAACGGTAATGGGTTCCTTTTCTGCCCCAAGGGTTCTGCAATCTGCAATGGGGTAGTAGAAGTCTAATTTTTGATTTTTTTTTAATTTAAAAAAAAAAAGTTTGGAAAGTTGGTGGGTCACGTGACCCACCATGACCCACTGTGGGTCCGCCCCTGGTTACACTTATTCAAAATATTCAATATTTTATGAACATTATAGATTGAACTGAAATTTAATATTTTCATATGATTACCTATAATTAGAATTGATAATGGGGTTGCATATCTTTCAGGTTTAGCAAGATGTGGGAAGAGTTGCAGACTGCGGCGGGTGAATTATCTCAAGCCTGGAGTGAAACGGGGGAACTACAGCAAAGAGGAAGAGGATTGTATCATGGAACTACATGTCAAACTTGGAAACAAGTAGAAAATTAGCTTAACTTATTCAAATTTATCACGTAAATATTAGCATTTTTTTTGTGAAGGGCATAATATATGCACAATTGTCATAAATAGGTAAGCGAGACTTGCACAAAACACCATTGCCTTCTTGAGTAGTATCATGACTCACCTCGTCAAAAAGCTCGAGTGTTAGACGGGGTCACATTGATTTGATTGTTTTTAATGGTCTACATTTTTTGTTCTAGTATTGTATAAGCTAATGAACAAAATCCATACGCGTGAAGAGTTCTCTTATTCTCCTCCCCCTTCTAATAGTGATCTTATTTGTAAAATAAAGGTGGTCAGCCATTGCAGCAGAGTTGCCTAGAAGAACAGACAATGATATAAAAAACTACTGGCATTCACATGTATCGAAGAAAAACAAAAGAATTGTAGCACAAACTAGGGTAATGGAGCAGCAGCCTTATGAACCTTCCACATTGTTACAGTTAATACATGAAGATCAATCTAATCCAATCAGCCCTCACCTAACGACACTAATGCAATTGGACCAAAATGACGTTGTTGAGGCTGAATCTTCGTGTCTTCAAGATTTGAAAAATTCAGTGCCATCCCTCAATAATCCTGATACGACTAGTTGGGATTTAGCCGTAGGAAATTTCTGGACTGAACCATTTCTAGCAGATACATCACTTAAGTGAATTATCAAGCACATGTCCTCATATTCTGAGTCCTCTCCACTGGCTTGCTGAAAATAGTATTTCTTCATCAGATGCAGTTGGAGAACCACAAGGAACTTTATGGACAGAAGAGGGGGGGCTTTTCTCGCCATACTTTTGGTACTAATTTTATGATAATATGAACTTATTTTAGCTATAGGTAGCACGTATAAATTTATGTATGATAAGACCGTCTGAGACGAGATTTTTTCTCTAGTCTGATGTCCAATATATAAGAGAAGAAAATGTATTAATCATAACCGTACGACCTTTTTCCTATAGTTGTACATGTGATTCAAACAAAAAATTCTTATATTTCAATCACACATTTTCCATCAATCTACTATTTCAAAATGGATTCTTTAAAAAAAAAAAGTGGGGCTTGTTTAAAATATTGTTCAAAAGTTGATAAAATTGGTAGTAGAATAAAAAATGGAACTTGAGACCAAAATGATGGAAATATGCAACCGCACAGGCCACTACGGCATGCAGTCGCATAGCCATATACTGGGACTAAAGGCCCCGTGACTGCATTAACTATACAGTCGCATAGGTTTCGCCTATGCAACCACATAGAGGAAGAAAATAGCCATTTTATAGCCATTGCTATTTGAATTTTGGTGGCTTTTCATCTGATTTTGGCGCTATTTTGTGGAAGACTATTGAGGCCTATATATAGGTGATCAATGTTCAAAGACAAAATAATGAAATATCATTCTTGAAAACGTTTTTGTTCCACACATCATTGAAATAAAAAATTTCTTCATACATATTTATAAAAATTTCCATTTTGTGTTCTTCAAGTTTTTGAGGATTTTCACTAGTGCTTAAGTGTTAAATCCTTTACAAGGCTTGATTAATCATGCGAACTATTTGTCATAATCTCTTTAAGCATCATTTTCAATCCGAGATGGGCAAATATAATTTGCGGACAACGGTTTTGTGTTCAAGCCTTCTTTTTCATCTTCGAACAATCTCAAACTATGATTTGCGCAATGGAGAATAAAAGCACTATTGTGACGATCAAGTTGATGAATCAAAATCTTGTTCGATTGGATCGCTTTGATGGAACCAACTTCTAGAGATGGCAAGATAAATTGAAGTTTCTACTAACGACGTTGAAGATATTGTACATCCTTAATCCAGATTTAGCACCATTACCAGAACTAATAAATGGAGATTCCAATGATGTGAGAGCCGAAAGAAAAAAGCGCCAGAAGATTAACTCATATGACGTGGCCATATTCTCAACGCTCTATCAAATAGGCTATAAAATCTCTACACCAATACTTCATCGACAAAGGAAATCTGGAACGCTTTGGAAAGTTAGTACAAAGCCGAAGAAGATGGTACAAAGAAATTTTTAATTTCAATGTACTTTGATTTTAAATTTCTTGAGAATATTCTCCTTCTTCCCCAAATTCATGAATTACAAGCGCTTGTCAACAAGTCGAAGTCGGTCAAAATTGAGATTTCGAAAACTTTCCAAGTGAGCAATTATTGCAAAACTTCCCGAAACTTGGAAATGATATCGGAAGTAAATCATGCATAGTTCCGAATACTATTCTTTAGAACAATTGTAGAAATATCTTTGAATTGAGGAAGAATCGAGGGCAAGAAATAAGAATGACAATTCTTACGAAGGCACTCCAAAAGCCAAATGCCATGGAGAAGACCGAGCCTTCTAATAAATCCAACAAGAAAAAGCCTCCAAGGAACTTTAATAAGTTCAAGAAGAAGACCAAAGGTGGTTGTTTCATGCGTGGAAAACCTGGATATTATGCAAAGAAAGTGTCGACATCGAAAAAGAAACAACTCCGAAAGAAAAATGAACTCTATCAAGGAAGACAACATTGTGGCCATCGTAAAAGAATATAATGCTATCAAGGGAAAGGTTCCCGGTTGGTGGTATGATACATGTGCAACTGTATACATATCATATGATAAATCATTGTTCAAAAAATATTTTAAAGTTGATGGAAATCAAGAGATTCAAATGGGTAACGAAGTTCACTCCAAGGTGGTTGGAAAAGAAAATGTAGAGATCATCTTCACTTTGGGCAAGAACGTTACCTTGACAAATGTGCTACATGTTCCCGATATGAATAGGGACCTGGTTAGCGGAAATCTCTTAGAAAAATCAGGCATAAAATGTGTTTATGGGTACGGTAAACTTGGGATATCCCTAAATGAAAAATTTGTCGAAAAATGCTATTCTTGTGAAGGAATGTCAAATTATGTACCGTTGACAAATTGATTAATAATAAAGTTGATTTTGCTTATATTTTTTATTCATTTACATTATGACATGATAGATTAGGCCACATAGGTAAGATTACCATAAAAAAAATGTTAAAATGTGACTTAATGACTTATAATGAAAATGATACACTTAAATGTAAAACATGTGTAAAATTTAAAATGACTAAGAAATATTATCAAAGTATAAAAAGGACTTCTAGTATTTTAGAATTAATTCATATAGATATATGTGAATTAAATGGCATGTTGACTAGAGGAAGAAATATGTATTTTATTACTTTCATTAATGATTTCACTAGATATACGTATGTTTACTTGATGAAGCATAAACAAGAAGTTTTTGACATGTTGTATATAAAAATGAAGTTGAAAATCACTTAAGTAAGAAAATAAAAACACTAAGAAGTAACAAAGGATGTGAGTACTTTTCTAGTGATTTTAACTCGTTTCGTGAACAACAAGAAAAGGATGTGAGTACTTTTCTAGTGATTTTAACTCGTTTCGTGAACAACAAGACATAATTTATCAATGTTCTGCACCTAAAACACCCGAACAAAATGGTTTGGCTGA